CACAGGGAGTTATAGCCAAATGCTGTTGAACACTGGACGCAATTTGCTTGTTGCGCATCACTTTGAAGCTGACGGCTGCTTGCTCGCAGACATTCAAGGCTCCAGTTGCCTTGGTAACCCTCTAATCTATTTGCTGCCAGGTCAAATGTCAGTCAGTGGTATCCTTCGCTCTGATTGGCAGTCACTTTAGTTGTTGGACGGGAAGTTGAGAAAATGTTATCTCAGGTCCCGCCCACTTCCCCATCGCTTGCAGTTTTTTTCATCCATAGTTGCTTGAAGTTGCTGAATGTCATTCACTTTATGTGGTCTCCGGTCGCCGCGTTGCTTCCAGTGTGGGTGAAGCTTAACGCTGAGTATTCAAAATGCAAAATAAAAACTAATGGGTTATGTCAAATTAGCTACTGTAAGCCCATCTTTTATATATAGTTTATGTCTAGGAAACAAATTCCTTGTGTACAACAATCGTTTCCATATTCTGGATTATAAAGGTGAAAGATAGTTGAGTTAGATGATACAAAAGATCTCCAATGTGAGCAGCTGTGGTTTCGTCCACTTTCGACCATTACTGCCAATTTCCTGGTGAGGTCTAAGAATTGCATATTTTCATACATTTGGAAAAAGTGGGATCAATTGTAAAAATTAATTCCTCATCATCATCATTGTCAAAAAAATGTTCACTTTGGTTTACGAACAAATATCTACCAGAGATGAACTCCATACTCTGCTCAACCTTTAGTCTAGCACAGGGGTCGGTAACCCTAGGCACACGTGCCACAGTTGGCACGCGAAGGGTTAACTGATGGCACGACCATAGCTGGACTGGCCATCGGGCTGATCAATGATCAGCTGATCGGCTTTTCTCTCTCGTTTGTTTATCGCCCACTTTGCACCAGAAAGAAGAAACCGCCGGATGTCGTACTAAACAACAGCAGCACGTTTAAGCTTGATGAGCTGTTGTTAGAATTTATTTAATATTAATTTCTAGTATCAGCTGATGTTTGCTGGAGCCACAGCTGTAAAAGCTGCTGGTCACGATATCGGTTTGGATATGTGGTGAGAGGGAAACATTAAGATGAAACCAGGAGATGTCCTTACTGAATCATCAGAGCTGAACAGGTGATGGAGGTTTACCTTTTAGGTGACATGAATGAGTTGAAGGGAAGTTATGAACTGTTTCTGAGAGACAAATAACACCAGGATCTGTTTCTAAGTATCTGACAGCTGGTAACTGTGCAGGGGTGGATCTAGCAAAGTTTTGCCAGGGGGGCAGGTAGGGCATTAACAGCGAAAGGGGGGGCACAAAGAAATACTTTCTTATTCTCATTTAAAATGTCTGGCTGTTATTAAATAATTATCTGAAGCTTACAACCAAAGCCTTAATACCTGGTGGGCCGGTCTTTAGTCAAGCTGGGCTGTTTTTTGTCCCAGTCCAACCCTGGGCACGACACGCAGTGAATTAATCTGAGAAGGTGCATCAAAGAATAAATGGCTGCGCCAGCGGTGCACTTTGCAAATTGGGACTTTCAGGTATATGGACCAATGTTTTATTTTCTGATCAAACCAGAAATCTTTAATGAGCAGCTAGATTTGTCTCGCATTAACTGGCTGACATCAAACCAGCTGGAACCCACAGCTGTGCGTGTTCATGGAGCTTTCATTTTCACCTGCTGGACGTCACTACCTGACAAGTTTAACTGTCTTCAGAACATTGCTGAGGCCTTATTGACAGTATTTGGCTCTACATATCTGTGTGAGCAGATTTTCTCTCACATGAGTGTCCTCAGGTAGCCGTCTGAATGCTGGACACTCGGAGACCTGTGTCTGTGAGTGGGAGACCAGAGATCACATTAACATGTGTGACTCTGTATTAACAGACATGCCATATTGGCTTAGTTTATTTTTCTTATCATTGTTGTGAGGAGACCATAAATAGCATTTGTATTTTCTGTTGTACAGTTCATTTGCTGTTCTTGTTATGGATAAAAAGTGTCTTTTTTTTGTTTCAAAATAGCTGATAACTATTCACTGATAGCTGCCAACATCTGCAAACAAATATAATTCTATAAAGTGGTTCTATATAGTGCGTAACTGTTCATATAGAGCATTATTAAATTTATTGCTAATACAATCATATGGCACACTGACTGAGAAAATTTTAAATGGCACTCGCCATCAGAAAGGTTGCCTCCCCCTGGTCTAGCACCTAGTTAAAGATATACTAAGATGGCAAACGTGATGAACATTGTACCTGCTATTTCACAGATTTTTGTCTAAAAGACAAAAATTTCAGACTATACAAAGACTATACAAGACTAACACTATGCAAACCTATGGGAAATGCCATTAGTAATGTAATTACCTTCATATTACCCTATTTATCTACTGTCATGCTATGGTTAGCATTTAAAAGAATCACTTGGCCTGAATCCTGTCTCTACTATCTTGACTTCTTCGGTTTTACATGCTTCTTTTTCAAATCCTGTGTGTCCACTTGTATTTTCACCCCCATCCCCTCTTTCCCGCAGCCCTCTGTTCCTTCAGCTCCTCAGGTACCAGATCACATCGACAACTGATGAGTTGTAGCAGATATCAGGGTTGTATGTGATGCTCTGAAGGGTGTATTTCAAAAGGGTTTGGGGTCATATTTCACTGTTTCAGGGCTGAGGTGCCGCCATGTATTAATTAAAATCCAAATACCCCTATTGATTGTGTTATCAGGCTAGTGCAGCCTGGGCTTGCTGTATTGATCCAGCCTGTGATTTACGATCATTTTCTAGAAAAATCCCTTTGTGTGATTATATGAGGAAACAGAGCCTGAGTGAGTGCAATTCTTTTAGAGATATTATAGAGCACAGTGCCAGTGGTGGAGGGCTAAACAGACTGCCACCCTGAAGCCCCTCACAGGAGAGATATTTTCAACTAGAAAAATTGTTATGATCCTGTTGGTTTCAATGAAAAGTAAATCAAAGGAAGCAGCTGGCTCTACACACTCATGAGTTACAAACTGCGGCTGCTGCCTGTGGCTTTCAACATTGCACCTCTTAGATAATGTGGGTAATTTAGAAATCCCGCCCTATTAATGAGCTTGACTACATTCCCAAAATATACTTTTAAAACTCATTCTCGCTCGTGGGTAAAAACATTGAATAATTACCTACAAAACACCTCCAATTTTCCCCTTCTTTTAGTTTAAAGACGTGCAAGTGTGATCTGAAAACTTTAACATTTAACAAATCTGTCATTTACAAAACAAAAACCTTAAAAGTAAAGAACAATATTTCCACACTGAGTCAGTGCGCTGTCACTGTGAAGAAACACTACAGTCATAAATCAAAGAAACTCTTTGGCATGCCTCCTGAGCTGAACCACCTTACTTCAGTGTGCTATGGCGAGCCATATGCGATGACTTTGTCAGCAAGAAGGCTGTAAAACTGACAATGATTGAGTGAAATAAGCCGCTTGGACAAACATTTTCATGATGTCATACGTTAACTACTTGCAGCACAATGCTGCTTGTTCCAAAATACACTGAAAACACTGTCATTCACAAACAAACACAGAAGGACAACAGACAACAGTCGTAGACCCTGACAGGGACTAAGTGTGTGTGTGTCAAATTTCAAAATAAAAGTCCTTTTTTTTTTTTTAATCAAAGACCAATATGATGTAAAATTTCAGAATTTTTAAACTAAACCTTCATTTTCACACAGGAACTGATTTAAAGCTACTATTTATTTTTCTGTTAGTGTCCCTGGCTGTTTGTGATTTTGTGGGTCAGGTATCGATGCTGTGACATCCTGGAGCTCTGTAAAGATGCCGACCGTTTTACTACGTACACCTGTGTGCCTGAAAAGGTGGCTGGCCACTTAATTAGGTACATCTGTGACCGCTTTATTTGGTACACTTATGTGCTTAATTAAATGGCTGTCCCCTTTATTAGTTACACCTGTGGTCACTTTATTAGGTACACCGTGTGCTTAAAAACGGAGTCAGCCACTTAATTGGGTACACCTGTGCGTGGCCACTTTATTAGGCACACTTGTGTACCTGGCCACGTTTTAGGTACACCATTTTAGCTACTTTAGGTAGGGTGTATGTGCCATTTTATTGGGTACATACACCCTACCAAACTTTAACCTCAACCTACAGGAGACAAAGCAACGATCTCTGTGCGTAGCAACAATGCAACAGCAATTTCTCCAGAGACTGTACAGTCCAGTTTTTCCACTGTATTTGCTGGGCAGCTGTGATATGTTTAACCTTCAAGTAACCCAGTGAGGTAGTTTATGACCCAGCTGATATTTCTAACAATAAAAGATGTTTTCTACTGTACCACAATTTTTTCAGTCCATTTCTGCTTTAACTTTTTATAGTTTTTAAAGGAATTGTCCCATTGGTATGGTGAGGATAATGGAAAGTTATGTAGGCATCAAGTTTTGTTTTTTTTAACATCATAAGCTTTATTTTAACACAATCGTTCCCTTGTAATTACCACGTTTTAATGTTTTTCTCTGAGCCATGGCTAACAGATGTAAGAGAAGACAGGAGGCAAATACAAATGCCTGACAATGAAAACGGCTCCACTGAGTCAGAGTAACCTCTTCATGCATAACAAAAAGTATTGTAAAAACAATAATTAATGGCTTATTTTAGAATATCAGTCTTATATCAGTTCTTATATAAAATATAATAAATCACCTCACTCTGTCATTTTAGTCACTACAATAAGTCAAAAAAGGCAAACAATAGCATCCTCTGGTTACATCCTCACATATTTATCATACCACAGCACATATCGTTAGCTTCATAGCATAAGTGCCTAAGTCATTTTTTTGTGTTTTTTTTTGTGACGGACAGGATGATGCAGCAGTGGTAGGGGAGTAAAGTTAGGCAAAAATCTCAATTTGACCAAAAAATGACTTAGGCACTTATGCTATGAAGCTAACGATATGTGGCTCTTACTTTCCTTATTAGCACAGAATGTAATTTGATCTGTAGGTTTGTCCATTATCAATGAACTTCTTAGGAAAGCAGGCTTAGCTAAAAGAGCTTTAAAAGAATATTAGAAGAATTTAACACCAATGTCCTCCTAAGCATGTATTAAATTATTTTAAGACGATCTAACAGTCTATCAACTTCACTTTAAAGCTCACTGTAAATCTTCTGCTCATATTAGGACCATTAAAAATAACATTTTAAAAACATTTTAGTGAGTTTAACCAGTTTTTGGCTCCACAATCACCACCACGTAGGCCAGTCAAGTTTCAGTGAACACATTGAAGCTCTTTAGGTAAAAATCTGTGCATAAACAATTTTATTATTCCCTGCAGATTCTCTGCGAGGCTTTTCCTGTTAGTCAGTAAATACCTCAGTATGAATAGATAGTTTCAAAGTCTTGCCGTGTCTTTCAGCCTGATATATCTCTGGAAAGTTTTGCATTTTTCTCGTGGCTGATCACTGTCTTCAGGGGCCATTAGCTTGTCATATCTCCATCTGTGGCCTCATGCTCTGTACAGCAGCCTTCGCATTCCTCAGTTGGCACCGGCTGATGAGCCGCTGGTGTATCTGCTCCTCCTTTTAGTTGCTAGTAAATCGCTGCTTACTGTAATTTTCATACAGACAAAATGTGGCTGCAGAGAAGCTTCTCAATTCTGAAGCATCAAATTGTAATCTTGGCGAGTACGTTGACCTGACTGTCAATTTCTTGCTCACAAATGACTGATACGCAAATGTGCAAAGAACTTAAACATTACAAATGACAGATTTTAACTTTCATTTTATATTCATTCAAACATAATAGTGTATTTGGCCTATTTTCAGACACGCAAACACTTTGTTATATTAATTGATATCTTTTCCAAGTTCTTGTGGAGTGGACAAAACATGAATGAATGTAATCTGTATTAAATGTGATGTTGTTTTTAGGAGATGTGCTTGTTGATTTGTTGGTATTTATCATTTCCAGGCTCCTGAAAGAAAAGAAATACCTTCTATGTTATTCATGCCATAGCCACTGATGTCACATTTCCTGTGTTTTTTCAGCTGTTAGTGGATATCAGGCTAGAATGATTATTACTGACTATAACAGCCCATGTTTGGAAATTTAATCCTCTTCCTCCTTTATATCAGATATTTTGGCATATAATTATAGGTGGGTACAGTTTGATTTGTACAACAAAATGAACATTATGTAACACAAGGAAGCATGACACAAAAAAAGAAAACCATGAGTCACTGGCCCTGACAGCGAGGCATCCGGTGGTAATGGTTTGGGTCCTTTGTGCCATGATGCCTGGTTTCTACAGATGTGATGCTGGTGCCTGGTTATACCAGCCCACATTTCTGCAGGTTTAAGAACTGAGTATAACATTGAATTAAGTGGCAAAACGTCATGTTCATAAATCCATGTGATGAAAATTATAGTGGACAAAATCTGCAAATCATCTGTGAGTTTCTTGCCATAACCCCTCCCTTAGTTACTTACTTCAGTGGGTCCAAATCTGGGCCCAGCAATTTTGTGGTGCAGTACTTGTGCCAGCTTTTTGGCACCAGCGCAGGTCTTTTTTTTTTTACTGGAAATGCAAACAGCTGGTTCTAGATTTGGCACTGGCACTGGATTGGTGGAAAAAAAGGTTGCAGGAGGAAATTAAGGTTGAGCGCACATCAATACATACTTGTTCTGAAAGATCACTTTTAACTGTGTTCTCTTCCAGAACAACAATGCCTTCATCCGCATGAATCAATAGTGGCTTAAAAGTGTTGTGAATCATGTGATATGGCCTTTAAAGTCATTTTTAAGAGGTACTCACTGATGCTGTGGTCCAAACCAAAACAAAGGTACTTTATGTTGTTTTCTTCTTTACCCATCCTTATATGCTATTGCTGTATTTTTGCAGTATTTACAGCTTTAAAAGTTATTTTTAGACTTCTCTTCATTAAATAGCCTGGAATACTACTGGTCAGTTGTTTTTCCAACAAAACCACTGAAAACAAAAATTCTACTGAAATCATGTGTAATAGCTTCATCCAGGATTCAGGACCTCTTTGTTTCTTAAATTAAGCCAGTGTTTGTATTGCAATCTAACACCACAACTCCACTTACTGCTGCCCCAAAATTAACTGGAGACTTCTTCTGCCCTGCTGAAAAAAAGCGAAGCAGTTTTAGCAGCATAGGTCGCCAAAATAGCATCATGAATAACTCCCAAGTGCCTTTTTTGTTTCATTATTAATTAAGTGATTTGTGTATTTTTAGTGTAATTGCTTACTTTCAGCACTTATTTATTAATGAATATAATTTATTTAAGTGGCTCAGCTGGATTACCTTTCCTCCTCATATTAAACAATATAAACTGATACATTTGTTTGTCTAACAGATGTTCACAATGATTAAAATCAAGTGGTGCTTCGGGCATAGAGTGGAGTCTGCACGGGTGGAGGCCAAGTTAGAATCTGGAAGAGATCATGGTCAAGTAGTTGCTAGTTTGATTTTGTGTGCTGACGCTGGTTACAAAGAATCAATATCGAATCAAGGAGGGTTGAGTTTCTAGATAAGCGTTCTCGGCCACTCTGGCTATTCATCATAAGTCTGTAGAAACCTGATAGGTCAGAAGAAATTATATTCGAGCAAGAGTGGGGCCTCCTTATCTCTCTATAGCAGGGGAATAGGAGACATGCCGATCAATACCAGGCTGTTGTGTAGTACTTGCAATTATCAACAGCTGATTCTGTCGTCCCCCAGCTGCATCTTTTAATACCACATAATTACAAGTTTGGGGACAATGTCTGGTGAAAGGGGATTACAGCTTTGCTGAAGTATGCTTCATTCTTCTCTCGGCTTTGAAATAGCTACAGTCTGTGGAAGGGTTTCAAATACATTTTATTATACACCTCATACTCTTGCATACTTTCTTTTTTAAAGGATTTTTTAATTTATCGATAACTGAGCTGCATTTAAGTTTAAACTCTGGTCTGTATTGGCTCTTATTATGTCAACCAACCGGTAAAACATATATACAAGCTACAAAAAAGGTGTATTCAGCCTAGTTTTATTTTCAAACTGAGCTCATCTGGGTTTATCTTACACACTTCCCTGATGCTCACTCGAGGGAGGATTTCTTCTCCGACACATTTTTCAGTCTATTATGGCGCCAAATTGTGGGAGGTCGTAACAAATGAAGCAAGGGCTCCAACACCTCCTGTGGTATCCTGGCAGTAGCCTATCGCAGGCGGCTGAAGGGCATCTAATGATGGACCGGAGGCGGAGGCAACAAGGAGAGCGCCGGTAGCTCGGATAAACCAGGGAGTCTCACTTCCGACAGTCACCAGTGTAAGATCGGATCTACGTACGACCTGAGTGAGATTTTTACGCACAAAGTTTGACTTTACGCACGTATCCAATCCTGCGAAATCTGATCTGTTAGGGAGTTACCTCTTCCGTCGCGTTGATTCTGGGCTTGAGGCAGTTTTAGGTGTTCAGCCTATTTTCTCTGAGGGTGCTCCTGCTAGTGTTACGCTTTTGCCGCGAGTGTGTGTGAGGGATTCAGCTGGGACATCGAGCCATCCACCTCCCGAGGAGTCAACTCAAAGTGGAATGTCTAAGCCAATCCAAGAGCTGAGAAAGGAAATAAAACAATCTTAGACTCAAACGGACTATCTAAAGATGCAGCATTTGACCACAGAGTTAAAACCAAGACCGTTCCAAAACGCTTAAGACTCTCAGGAGTTCAGATCGGACTAAACCATGTTGGCTGCTCGGAGATGTGCGTAAAATCAGCCGCACACCGGACAGGAAGTGAACTAATTATTATTAAACACCATCCCTCATTTCCATATCTACCGTGAGTTGGCTGGACGGCAGCCAATCACCCATCGAAAGGCAGCTAGAGTCGTAAAAGCATTATCCTTCCTCCATCATAATTACACTGACATGCGCAATCTGCACTCGGGCATCAACACCATCCTCCGATCTCTTATTTCACCGAACCCGCTCTCCACGAAGCGTCCCATTCGCTGCTTGTAGATGATTCGGCGAAAGGCAGCAGCGAGGCGCACAAACAGATCAACATGTCCCGGCGAAAGCAAGCCAAGCCGCAGCACCTCAAGTCAGATGAGGAGGCGATACAGACCGGACTGCTCTGCAATAATGGTAAGTGTCCGGGGAGCTTTGGACGACTTTTCAGGGGGGTTTTAGGCTGCTGCGTGAAGAAGAACTGTCGTCTTAGACGGTTTATTCAAAATGATTTATTCTGTTACAAAAAAAAACTTTTTAGGCAATTTGTAAAATAAAATAGAATGCAAATTAATTTAAACAATTTTACTTACAATTTTCTGCGGAAACACACCTATTATTTTAGCATTATTTCTGTATCACACTGTTTAGCTTTCAAGTCTCATTAGGGAAACTTTTTAAAGATAAAATCCGAAAAAGTTCATGATTTGATCACAAGGAAGCTTTTTTCATTTAGTTTTAACTTTACTTTGACTCGTGCAGGTCGAGATTTAACAGCTGGAGAAGATGTTGACACAATATGGAGTAGCAACTGTAGACTGAAATCTTTTAACATTTTTCTTCATGAACCAAGTTCAATGTAATAGTTTATTTGCTTGGTGTTTAAATGTTGAAGAAACAGGACCTGCTGTGAAGGACTGCGCCGAAACAAAACCCCCACATGAAGCAAGAAACGCACGGAAATCTTATATTTTGTTTCACATTATGTTCATATTTTATTTTATTGTATTTTTTTAATTTGGGGGGCAAAGTCCTCCTGCCAACTATTAAACTTTTAATGATAAACATTCATATTATAAATCAAATAGAAATAGTCTTAGAAGAAGCTTCTTAATAAAGTAAGACGTTTAAGTAAGTCAAGACCCTTTTTTTAAATATATATGTATATTGATTTAAAGTTTTTAATTATAACATTAGGGAAGTCCATGAATAAAATAATGACTAGGGATTATCAGTGCATTTCATATCATTTGTAAACAGAACAAAATCATTAAAACATATGACCATCTCATGTTAGAGTACACTATAAGTCCCATCTTGTATATTTTCAGTGTCAGGGTTTAATCTGGTGTGCTTGCAGGAAATCCTCATTCAACCTTTTAATCAACAAAGAAGCTGAGCATTAAATTGTATCAGCATTAATATTTTAAGTGTAAATCAACCTTTAAACTGCTGGAAGAGGCCAAAATGTTTACTGAAATTTAACAGAATTTTAAAATTAATCTTTGGCCTCTCAATTTGGTGCAGAATCAGCTGAAATACTTTTACATTCCACCAGGGACGTAAATATAAATTCATCCAAATAATGCTGATGTAATATCATTCATTTGACTTATTTTAATTATGTTAATGTTGATGGAGGGTTTTTTATTATTGTTTGCATAACCCTGAAAAGTAAAAGGCCTGTAAATGAAAAAATCTGCTTCACTGGTGGAATCGCAATTTTTATCATCATCGCCGTTTTTGTTGCGTATTTTTCATTGAATTATATGTGACTTTGTTTTTATGCGTGGCTGTGAAAAGGTGTCGAGTGTGGAAGAGGCCCTCCTGACTCGGGCCCTCCCACCGCCCTCCAGCCAAGCAGGGGGCTCCGCCACTATGAGCTGGGCTTTGATTGAGCCTGCTGACTTAACCTTTGGCAGCATCACCCTGAGAGGGGCAAGTGGTCCATGTCTGGATCACAATACAATTAGTACATCTGAACCATTGACCTCTGCGACCCAGAGGTCGCGCAGAGAGTCACAGAAGCATTAATGCTGGGCTGCGAATCTGTTTGCTTTTCAGCTGCAGCTTCATGATTTTTTTCCCCCCTCTCTCCTCTCATCGCCAAACCACACAAGAAACCAACATAAATCTGTTTACTGTTCCTGACATTATGGATTGAGTGAGGGTGACATTTTTAAATAAATTCCCATCACGTGTTATTACATTTGGAAATATATTTAAAGGTTTAAATCAAATCCGATCTTTTCTTTGTTTTCATTGGAAGTAAATCTTACAGAGAGCAGACAAAATCCTGTGCTAAAACAGTGGAAGTGTTTTCACTCCTGTGTTTGCTGAATCGCCCTGGTGATCCTCAGACCACCCACTTTGTGAGGCAAGGACTCTGATTATTTACCCATGACAAGTTTGACTTTCAAATAGATTTTTCTACTCTGCTCTGGTTACACTCTTACTTCTTAAACTGAAAAAAAAGTCTGTAAAAAATTCTTTTTATAAAATCTCTGACGTGCCACATTTGGAGCTACATGTCTATAATAGGTTAGTGAACTAATTTCCTCCTTAATGCAGACATTGTTCTGCGTGTTTGCGTGAGGATTTGTTCAGTGTGTTCGTATAATTGTAAATATAACAGACGTCTCCGGCTGCTTTTAGCTCCAGCACACTGGGAGTAATTCTTTTAGGTGGTGAAATGTGATAATTGGAGTTTATTGATTTAAGTCGGAAACACAAACACACACGCGTGTGCACATACACACGAATTCTGTGCACATATGGGGCCACACAGACACACGTTCGTGTCAAATTTAGCACAAACACGCATCTTTCAATCTAAAATTATTTAAAATTCACATTTAGTTTGCTTAAGGAAAAAAACGCTGACAGCCCCTGTGAACGTGTCTTTAACGTGTGATGCTTACAAGAATGGAAGTTTGTAAAGATACTCAGTTAACAAAATCCAATTACAGTCGTTCCTAATCCCTGAAAATATCCATCCGTCTAAATAGTCAGTTTTTTAAAATTGTTATCCTTAAATTAGTGTAGCAATACCCGGATATATGTGCAATAATTCAGTAGTGATTTCCCCAAAACTTCCCATCTGGCATTACTGTCTGTTTCCTAATGGGGCAAAACCTGAACAGATGCAACAGTGATCATAAAGTGTGAAATCCTGTCATAAGGAATGTCACATATCAGCTAGTGAAACGGGGCAAAATGAAATGAAGATTTCAAAATAAAGAATTGTGCTAAAATATGAGAAAATACATCAGGAAAAGTCTGGAAACGAGGACGACAAGGCACGCTCTTACGTCCTGTTCACGTCAGGGTATTTTTTAGTATTTTTATTTTTATATGTATTTTGTATTTTTGGTATTTAGATGCATGAAATACAAAAATAAAAAAGAGATATGTGTTGCTGATGCAGATTCACAGCTGTGTTCCTGTAGAAATTTGAGAAGACAATTAAATTTATCAGACCCTGAGAGCGAACACGATGTTTTAATAACAATCAGGGTATAACATGTGTTTCAGGTTGTGTAGATTATTAAATGTTACAACAGTTTTTTTAAGTTTAGGTTAATTCACTTCACTTTTTCCAAATAGAAATTTTGACAAATATGTGTTTTCACACACTCTTTACTTTTACTTTACTTTTACTTTAAGTGTGAGTTGAAAACTTCTGTCAGACACTTAAAAGCAATTTTTTTACAAAGCCGGTTGAATTAAGTCTTTTAGAGTCACGTCTCATTAAAAATGAACACACACTCCACAGCTGTAAACTTTGAAGTAGCTGAGAATGGTCTTTGGTTAAATGCAGTTTTTTATATTAAAAATAAACCTTAAAATGCCCCAAACCTTTCCTCCTGTGGTTCATAATTTGTTCTCACATACAAATGCACGTGTGTGCATAACGTTTACGGCACATATGCAGTTTAATCTAAATTTGTTTTAGATAATTCCTTGACAAACCGTCCCGTTTCAGCTTGACATGTTTGTTATCTTTGGACGCTGCAGGGTGTCTTGTGGATTTCGACGTTCAGTGGAGTTAAACAATGGTTGTCCGTACAACACGAGATTGGAAAGATGGACTCACCGCTGTGTGTGTGTGTGTGTGTGTGTGTGTGTGTGTGTCTGTGTGTGTGTGTGTGTGTGTGTGTGTGTGTGTGTGTGTGTGTGTGTGTGTGTGTGTGTGTGTGTGTGTGTGCACGCACGAGTGAGAGGGGGAAGGGACCATAGGTGAAAGGTGATATAGAGAAAATTCGTCCCACTGACGAAACATCGGGACATTCAGTTATCAGTTTCCCATTCTACTCTTGTTTTTTTTCCTTCTCAGGGATTTTGGCTGGCATGGAGCGAGAGAAGGCCAATGAAGACAGTGAGGAAACACACATCTGTGATAAATGCTGTGCTCAGTTCTTCACTTGGACCAAACTGTTAGAGCACCACAAAGTCTGCACTGAGGATCCCTTGGTGCTGATAGTGAAGGACAGCGAGGGGATGCCTGCACCAGAGGAATCTCCTGTCGGGCCGTCTCCAGTTCCCAGCGTAGCGTCCAGTGACTCATCTGCTGCAGAGTCCACGGATGCCGGCTTTGAGCTGGGAGAAACACTGGTAAATGACAACGACAGTCTGGATAATTTGGAGGAAGGGAGGGAGCAGGATGAAGCTATGGAGCTTGAACATTGCCCACAGGACAAATACACTACAACGCCTAGCCCCCATCCCCCGGATTCAGCTGAGTCCACTCCTTCCCAGATGTCTGCAGCTGCCAGCTACAGCATGCCGAGCACCAACGTGACACTTGAGATCCTTCACAGCACCAGGGTGGCTGTTGCCCAGTTTTCCCAGGGGATCAATAGCAGCGGTCCAGGAGGGAAGGCCGCTTCAGCAGCTATCCCGGTGATCCTGGAACACCTGCTAGCTCTGCAGCAACAACAGGTCCACCAGCTGCAGCTTATAGAGCAGATCTGCAGCCAGGTAGCTGTCATGAACAGACAACCAACACAAGCAGCATTAAACCCAGTCTCCAGGTCCCTGTCTCTGGCTCCTAACCCTTTCCCCTCACAAGGCATCATCCCTCCTCCCGTCCTGCCACTGTCAGGAACGATTCCCTCCGCCATTAACGGACAGGCGGCTGTTTCTTTGTCTTCTGTGCTTGAAAAGTCGCAAACCCTGCCCTCACAAACTATATGTGGACAGCCCACATTTAAGGATGTCACATGTACCTCAGCCTCCTCAGAAAACACGACCCCATCTCTCTCCAGCTGCAGCAGCAGCAGCATCTCCACGTTGCTGCCTCCTTACACAGGCTCACACACCAGCAGTGTTAGCAGTACTCAGACACTGAGCTCCTCCAGCCCCATTTCGCTGGCACAGAGCAGTCTACTCAGCTCTTCTTCTAGCCTGCCATTTCTACCTCAGAGCCCCCCCAGCAGCGTCATTTTTCCCAATCCCCTGGCTAGCATTGCCGCCACAGCTAATGCACTTGACCCTCTCGCAGCCTTGATGAAGCACAGGAAAGCGAAACTGCCTAATGTGTCCTTGTTCGAAACGAAGCCCAGCCCAGAGGAGCCCTTCTTCAAGCATAAATGCAGGTTCTGTGCCAAAGTGTTTGGCAGCGACAGTGCTCTGCAGATCCACCTGCGCTCCCATACAGGAGAGCGGCCCTTCAAATGCAACATCTGCGGCAACCGATTTTCTACAAAGGGGAACTTAAAGGTGCACTTTCAACGGCACAAAGAGAAGTATCCTCATATTCAGATGAACCCCTTCCCAGTGCCAGAATATCTGGATAATGTGCCAACAAGTTCTGGGATTCCCTATGGAATGTCCATCCCTCCAGAAAAACCTGTCTCCTCCTGGCTGGATAGCAAGCCGGTTGTAGCAACTCTGCCAGCCACTCTGGGTCTTCCGCTTTCCTCCACTATTACTAGTATCGGCGGCTCAAATGACCCTGTAAGTGTAACACCATCTGTTAAATCTTCCTATGAGCCAGCTCCTGGTGAATGTGTATCTGTGTCACCTAACCACAGAGGCAGCGAGGCTCGTTTCTCTCCCGTTTTAGAAGCCTCCAGTGTGCTGAAAACAGAGGGGGTGCACCTGCCCCAGAGCTGCACCAGTAATCTGAGACCCAACCTTGCCTCTGAAACAACCAGCACCACCATCCCATCTGTGACCACCACACCTGAACCCATCGCCTCAGCATCTCCTGCCTCCAACTCTCCTTCTCTCTCATTAAACTCAGACGAAATAAGACTCTCATCGTGTGGCCTCCTGGATTCTATGCAAACATCTGAGACCTCAAAGCTTCAGCAGCTGGTGGAGAATATTGACAAAAAGATTACAGATCCCAACCAGTGTGTCCTCTGTCACCGTGTCCTCAGCTGTCAGAGCGCGCTCAAGATGCACTATCGCATCCACACAGGCGAAAGACCCTTTAAATGCAAAGTGTGCGGCAGGGCTTTCACCACCAAAGGAAACCTGAAGACTCACATTGGCGTTCACCGAGAAAATCTCCCAGTGCAGGTGCAACACTCGTGTCCCATTTGTCAGAAGAAGTTCACCAACGCTGTTGTTCTTCAGCAGCATATCCGCATGCACATGGTTGGGCAGATTTCAGAGTCAGCCGCGGTGGACAGGCTGCAGGAGGTGGACAGCAACGTGTCTTTCAATGAGAACAACTTTGACAGCCTGAGCAGCAATGGCAATGACCTCATTGATGATATTTCAATGGAAGAGGATAATGAGGATGGTGAAGAGGAAGTGGAAAATATGGAGGAAGGCGTATATACATCTAAACCCTTAATCTCTGATTGTAATTCTCCCCCCAAGTCTTTAGCCATTGTGTCAAGTATAGCAGCTCTGGAGAGACAAATGAGAATGATTGACTCTGCTGTAAGCCTAAACCAGTCATTTGGTACAAAACCCCTAACTAATGGTTTTAAAGACAGCAGCCAGCTCAATATTGAAGGCGCTTTATCAGAGAAAAGGGTGGAGAACTGTAGTGAAAACAGCCCACATGTGTCCGAGTCCTCCTGTTCGCCTTGTGTATCAGCGTCTCCCTTTCAAAGCAACTCAGAAAGCATGACGATCAAATCACCGGCAGTTGACAACAGCAGGCCAGAATCCCAGGAGCCTTTGGCAGCCTCAGTGAAGAGAGAGCAATTTGAGTCTCCTGCCTCTGCACCGGCAGCTGCCCAAGAGCCGAGAGGAACACAGCCCGGCAAACTATGTGTGAAAGAGGAGATGCCTTACACTATGTCATTCCAGCTGAGCAGAGAGAGAGGTAAGCTAAAAATGCCATGTAAATGTTTATTATAATAACCTTAAAAAACAGTTTAGTTTTGTAAAGATAACTTTATACTCTATGCTTTTGTTTCAGCTGCAGGTCAAAGTATTCCAAGCCTGATTACCAGCACTTCATCGGGCTTGATAAAAACTGAGGTGAATGGTCACAGTCAACCGAGCACCCCGATGGAAGGGCACCATCCTCCGTTTAGCATCCACATCACCCCAGCGTATCCGTCAGTTGGTAGCCCAGGTATGACCTCCCTGCTAGGCCCTGCGCCTCCTCGGCGAACCCCAAAGCAGCACAACTGCAATGTCTGTGGGAAGAACTTCTCCTCAGCCAGCGCCCTGCAGATCCACGAGCGGACTCACACCGGAGAGAAACCGTTTGTCTGCTCGATCTGTGGTAGAGCTTTCACCACAAAAGGCAATCTGAAGGTAGATAAAAACTGATGTTTTTTCTGGTGTGTTGTGTTGTGTTGTGTTAGGACCTTATCAAGGAAAACTGTTCCCTATTGCTATTAAGTTTTAAAAAGTGCACAGTAGGTGAACCAGGACTCATTTTACTGTGTTGAATATTGGATAAGACAAGACTTCCTGCAAGACGGGAATCCTTTAGACCAAGAACCTGGTTTCAGTTTTAGAGAAACAAAGCATTCAGAGGATCTCTTGTTCAAATGTGTCTAAAAGTAAAACAGTCCATATTGAAAAACAGAGACAGATGAACTAAACAAAAACAGAACATTTACCAAGCATACATATTCTTCTCTACATGGTATCTTTGCTTATAAGAATCCATTAACGCGAATTAGGAAGCATATCGATGGAAGCTTAAATCATGCACCTTTCAAAATAAAAGACTGCTTAGACTATACACGTTTCTGTAGGATTAAAACTTTGTTCATCATTTAGTGCAACATCATACTAACACTGACAAAATCTCTGCTATTCACCACTTGGATCTTAAAAATCATAACTGATTATTACTTTTACTTCTTAAATGTTAAGAAGTATCAAAAGTAATTCCCATTAGAATTCCTTAAAACCCCAGATTGCACCTTCATAATGTTTGTTTTTGTCCAAAAACAAACAAATATTTTACAGTATTGAATAATCAGAAAGGTTTCTGATTAATTATTAATCAACAAATCGATTCTGGATCAAACAATAAAAACTTGCTGTTCAAACTTTTATTTTGTCAGAGCCTAAAAATGACGTTTAAATAAATGTATTTGAACCATCAGGGTGTGTTTGAAAAAAATCAAAAGATCTAACATGAATAAACTGTCAGCTGTCCTATAGGTGATATATAACTATGTTTGTATTTTGAAAAAGATTACCACATAACACTTTAAATGCCATTTTCAGGTTCATATGGGAACTCACATGTGGAACAATGCACCGGCAAGGAGAGGCCGGCGGCTTTCTGTGGACAACCCCATGGCTTTGCTGGGTGGAGAGGCAGTGAAGTTTGGAGAGATGTTTCAGAAGGACCTGGCAGCTCGAGCCATGAATGTAGACCCAGGATTCTGGAACCGTTACGCGACAGCTATCACCAACAGCTTGGCCATGAAGAACAACGAGATCTCGGTGATCCAGAACAGAGGCATCCCTCAGCTTCACCCCCTCTCGGCAGGCATGGACAGAGTGAGCACCGCAGGAGGTCCAATTACCAGTCTAACCAAGACAGGCATCGACCTGGGAAACAACAGACATTTTTCTCTGCTGATTGATGACAGTAAAGAAATTGGAATCAATTGAAAAAAAAGACAAACGTTGTGAAATTATGCAAGTTATTATGGACATTAAAATATTTGTAAAACACCTTGTTTGTTCTTATGTATTATATATAGACTTGAAAAAGAACTTTTTATGACTCAACAGAGAATAGTAGGTTATTCACATTTTGCTATTTTACTTTGCAGTCATTTGTGAATGTGTTTTTCTACACAGTAAAGACGTTGTTCAACTCATACTGTAATTGACAATTCCTTAGATGTATGGTTGCTCTGAAGAAGGGAACATATGTCCGATAATCAATAATGCAAAGAGTTTGCTTTCTCCTCCGGACACCTGCCCGCTGCTGCTACAGTGAGAGCAAAGCACAAAATATGCTCGTAAACATCCACATCTATGAACTGAAAAGATACGTTGTCAGTGTTATGGTGAGAAATTGTCTTTCTTAAACAACAGTCGGACTGAATAAAATCAGAACACACCACCTGTATGTTCAGATCTATACGTGACACTCCTTAGTTATTACAGCACTTTTATTTTGCTTAGAAATCACAGCCAAGAATAAGCTTTTTCATTTACTTTTATCTCTTTCAGCAAGGATTTTTTTTTGGCAAACAATAAAGTGGCCCTCATAAACTAACAGCTTTAACAAATTGATTCTTTAGCTTGACTATATTTTATCATTTTAGTAGAACTGCTAAGCTACGTCTGAAGTTTTCAATTAAATCTAAAAACAACCATCAGTAATAATAATAATAATAATAATAATAATAATAATAATTGTAGTATTTAAACAGGTCAATGAGTTGTGTTATCTGTAATTATTTAAATCAAAGAAAATATCAGAAAAGTAAGTCAGCAGTCAACACTAGATTTCATAAAGGGAGACTATGTCAGCCAGTTTCAAATCAAAACTTTAGGAACAAAATAAAGGCGTATATTTTGTTAAGTAGTTTCTATAAATTCGGATTAGAACAGCTGCTTCTCAAATAATTTCAAAATGGTGCGTAATGCAAAATATACCACTTATTAAAGGTTTCGTATCATCCTGCAAAGTCTTATTTTAGCGTAAGCTATATTTATTATTTCACTACACTGATTAAATCCGCGTGCAACCTTCGGTTACATCTTGAAAGCGCAGTTTTCGCATTGCTACATTCAGAAAAAGCCCACTTTGTTTATTTTTGTTATTGTTTTTGTTTTGTTTTTGTTTTTTGCACACACGCTGCGCAAAACAAGTGTTGCGTGAGATGAACCCCCCGCCCACCCAGTCTGTGCTCTCTAATCTTAAATTAGTAAAGCAATTTTTTCTTGGTTTAACATGCATCACTACGACATTTTTAAATGCCACGTGAATGCAGCACAAATCCCCACGCTTTTTGCGTGGCATCGCATAGGTACTGCCCAGCCAAGATGGCTGACAGCATCCCGTTAAATCCGGTGCGGAAGAACTCGAAGAGAATCCCGTATTACAACTCAGCCAGGCTTTCAAGGTATGGACGGGGTAGCTGAGCTGTTTTTTCTGTCTCGCACTAAAGCGACAGTCTTGTTGTCTGACACGTTTATGTGTTTTTGCTTTGCTTTTGCTTCCCGGGGCTCGGATCTGTGTACGGGGGTCGTGCTTGTTAGCTTGTTTTGCTAGTAGTGGTGTTGACAGCTCATTAGCGGTTTCTGCTTTGACAGCTGTTTGATTTTATCACACCGCCCCAGGTAAAGCTAGAAACCTGCGCAATATGTGCTTTTGCTTTTTTACAAGTTCCATAATTCAGCCTGTCAGTGTAGCATATGTTAGTGATAGTTATCTGCTGTGTTCCCTCGGGCTTTTCATTTAAAGTCACATGATAGCTGTGCTGGCGTACTACGTCACATGATATATGAAGATAGTTACTTTCTGTAGTCATGATTCACCATCTTGCTCATCTTTCAGAATGGAGGAAGATGGACTAACACAGTCCTCAGGGTGAGGAATGGACAGGAAGCGAAGTAGGCGCATAACAAGGTACTTGTAGTTCAAGAGCATCCACAGCAAATAGCTTTGGGTCATGTTAACGTATAGGCAAGTGGCTAATTAAAGGTGGAAGGTAAAACCTCGACCCCTGCAGGGTTAGAATTTGGTGGCCAAGTTAAGATTTAAGTAGAAAATGTCCTAGTATGTTTCACGTCCACTTGTCTCCTTTGGTCACGGCAAAAATAATAAAAATTTCTCTTCTTCCTGTGGTGAAAAACATCTAGTGATCTCCTTTAGGATGACAATGCCTCCACCCATAGGGCACAAGGATTGGCTGGTTAGTTTAATGAGTATTAGAATGTTATAGTTTCAATAACACAAGATTACAACCTAGTTGAATTCCTGTGGTAGATTTTTGAGTGCTGTACACCACTGTAACCAAGTAATCAAAACAGGGACTTGTATAAAAATCTAAAGCTAAACTAAAGGTTTTCTAGTAGTGATGGTTTAGCAGTTTAAGATGCCTTATGGGCTGAGAAACAGAGAGGTACTGCTTGCTAATACAAGACAGGTATGCCGTAGTGAAAAGACTGCTTTATCTTTATCTTCTTTTTTTTTTCTTTTCTTTTTTTTTTTTTTTTTTACACTAATAGGGACCACATTTTACAAAAAACATCAAGTTGTGGTGGAAAGGATTAAAACTTAAGTGAAACCATAAATGGGTCAGTAAAGTGTTTACTGAGGGTACAGGTTAAGGCAGTCAATTTATCATTCATCAAACAAAGTAAACAGAATTTTCCAGCCTTCTTTTTCAGTGAGCTTCAGTCATTGATGACAGACTGCCTAAATCAAAGTCTGAAACTTGTTGCTCCGAGGTGCCAACAGCAGCACTAACATTACAATGCAATAACAGTGACAAAACATTATATGTAGCAACACAGTTTAAATCAACTGTAAGCAAAAAAAAAAAAAAGTAGCCTAGGTAGTGTTTTTAATGGGAATTTTAAGTCAAACTATAACATAACTGCTTTATTTTTTAGTTCAACAATAACTAAATCAAATAAACCATGCAACATCTCAGGAGCCTCCACAGTATTGAAATTAAAATATATTTTATACTTGGGGGATGTTGTGTCTTGGGTCAGACTTATCAGCCAGTTGCTTAAAACCCTACTTTTCCACTAGCTCTTCCTGTCATATGAAGTGCAACTAGTGAGTGCTCCAGTGAGTCATTTGTTTACTTTTGGGTCACTCCTCACCAGCTGCTATTATCTCGTCTTTCATAGCCTGGTTTTACTGGATGGTGTGTTTTTTGCTTCAAGTGGTGAAACAAGTTTGTTTCCACCTTTAGCAGAGACAGTTTTCTTGCTTATTCTGCAAAGCATTGTGCTTTTTTTTCCCTTTTTTTTTTGGAGGCTGTTGAAGTAGTTCGTTTCTAAAATGTCGTCAGAGGCTGATATGTGGCTCTTGCTGTCAGAGATGTCTGGGCTACACTTGTTGTTGTTTGCACTAAGTATTGTAAACACCTGGCACAGTTCTATCCTTGATATCACATTAATGACACATTTTTATAATGTAAAAATATGTACCCCATATTATCGTGGAAGGTGGCACAACCTTAGAAGGATTGTATTGCCCCATGTGCACACATAAATCACAGACCTCAGCAACTGTAAAAGGTGTTTTGTAGTGGGTGGTAGTAATGTGCAATTCAGCTGCAGTATATTAAAAGGCAAAAGTATTCAGTTTTATATAGTTGCAGTTCACAACAGTAATCTCCTCAAGGCATTTACATTCAAGGGTAAAACCCATATAATATTACAAATAAAACCCTACCAATCAGATCCCTTATGGTTAACACTTGGCGACAGTAGGAAGGTAGAACTCCTTTTTAACAGGAACAGATATCCAGCAGAACCAGCAAGGGGCATTTATCTGCTGTGACTGACTCGAAGGGTGAGGGGATGATACCTCACTGAAAGAAAGATGGTAGAGTTGTATCTAGCTTGCTTATTATGCCGATAAAATGGCTTGTATTCTGCCAGTGTAGCTCTGGCAGTTCATGTTAGACTGAGTCTATTTCTCTAAATTTGTCAGCACCAAGTCTAAAATAAAGAGCTTAGTTTCACTTGAAGTGCATCGAAGCAGAAACACCAGCGCACACCAGTGTAAAAACGCAAACAGCTATGTTGCCACGAGGGCAGGGATTCAGGACAGGACAATAGAATCCCACTTTGTTTCTAAGACCTGTAAGTTGTGTCTAATTTTACTATATCTCCTACTATATCTAAAAGCACATTTAAACTTGGACTTCCTGGGAAAATCTGCCACGCTGAACTCGTTTCTCATGATAGTGATGAAATTAATGTGGCAGTTTATTGATCCCTGTAGAGGAATGATGAGAGCTGATTTTCTCAAACTGTTCCAAAGCATTTGTCCTGAAGCTGATGGAGAATGCTTTCCCACTGACACTCTGAGCAACTGTTGGCAACACCGTCAACGCTGCACCGGAGAGGCAGAAAACATTTTTACAAAGCAGCCCACGTTTCCCACAGGCTTGAGTTATTATGTAATCAGATGTGGGTGTTCCATCGCAAGAAACACTGTGGCTGATAATCCACTTTTTTTTAGCAAGTTCGAATGGTGTGTAAACATATCGCACATTTTGGTAACAGTGAAACATTTCCCAGATCATATGACTCAAAGCTTTGAGCACAATATTTACAGTTTAACACTACTACCTTTATGTTTATAGATCTGTCTAAAACAGTCTTTTTTTCTTATCCTCTTTAACAGTTCATCTCCCTGCATATTGTCATTCAATCAGTGTTTGTTTAGTTATAACTTGAGAAATCTGTATCGACTGTTCTGCTCATCAGGTTCAGACTTGGCATAGCTGGGTCTTTGGCTATGAAGGGAAGGATTTGGGGTATGTGACAAATGCAAGTGTCCTTGGATGCAGTCCTCTAAAAAAACTAAAAAAACACTGCTTACTCTGAAGGTGGTGATGCTATGCACAGGATGTGTGCTGATTGATTGAAAGATTTGCTTGAACAAACAATGGATTGACAGCAGAGTTCACCATGAAGGGGGGAAAAGTGTGAAAAGAATCAAAGGTCAAAAATAAAGAAGTACAAAT